CCCCCCAGGTGCCACAGTCCAAATGTTCGGCCGACTGTGAGGACGGTCAGGTCCGCAGGGTCAAAGGTTTCCACTCCTGCTGCTACGACTGTATCGACTGTTTGCCAGGAACCTACCAGAAAGAAAAAGGTGAGGTGGCGCTGCCTGTGGCAGTAGTCAGTACTGCAGTCGTCCTGTGTCGGAACATTTACTGTTCTTTATTCGATGCCTCTAGAACCCTGAACTGATCAGAGACGATGTTCTCTACGGTTCCTCCATTAGACCCTGTGGAACCTCAGGTTCTGTGGTTCTGTTGTGGTTCTGTGGTTTTGTTGTTCTGTTGTGGTTCTGTTGTGGTTCTGTTGGGGTTCTGTGGTTCTGTTGTGGTTCTGTGGTTTTGTTGTTCTGTTGTGGTTCTGTTGTGGTTCTGTGGTTTTGTTGTTCTGTTGTGGTTCTGTTGTGGTTCTGTGGTTCTGTGGTTCTGTTGTGGTTCTGTTGTGGTTCTGTGGTTTTGTTGTTGTGTTGTGGTTCTGTTGTGGTTCTGTTGGGGTTCTGTGGTTCTGTTGTGGTTCTGTGGTTCTGTGGTTCTGTTGTGGTTCTGTGGTTCTGTTGTGGTTCTGTGGTTTTGTTGTTCTGTTGTGGTTCTGTTGTGGTTCTGTGGTTTTGTTGTTGTGTTGTGGTTCTGTTGTGGTTCTGTTGGGGTTCTGTGGTTCTGTTGTGGTTCTGTTGTGGTTCTGTGGTGGTTCTGTGGTGGTTCTGTTGTGGTTTTGTTGTGGTTCTGTTGTGGTTCTGTTGGGGTTCTGTGGTTCTGTTGTGGTTCTGTGGTGGTTCTGTGGTGGTTCTGTTGTGGTTTTGTTGTGGTTCTGTTGTGGTTCTGTTGGGGTTCTGTGGTTCTGTTGTGGTTCTGTGGTTTTGTTGTTCTGTTGTGGTTCTGTTGTGGTTCTGTGGTGGTTCTGTGGTGGTTCTGTTGTGGTTCTGTTGTGGTTCTGTGGTTTTGTTGTTCTGTTGTGGTTCTGTTGTGGTTCTGTTGGGGTTCTGTGGTTCTGTTGTGGTTCTGTGGTGGTTCTGTTGTGGTTCTGTTGTGGTTCTGTGGTGGTTCTGTGGTGGTTCTGTTGTGGTTTTGTTGTGGTTCTGTGGTTTTGGTGTAGTCTGTCTGTCTCCACCTGTGCTGTAAATACACACTTTTCTTGTTTCAGTTTTGTTGAATCCTCGTGTTCACCCCGCCCCACGTGTTTGACACCCCTGCTCCACATTTACATCTTCTATTGTTTGCACTGTTTCCAGCTGTATTCCAGCGTTGTCCAATCAGCTGCTCTCCTGTGCCCCCCCTCCCCCTCCCCCCCCAGATGACATCCAGTGCACCGTCTGTCCAGAGGGTCAGTGGTCCCTGGTCCGCAGCACCGGCTGCACTCAACCCGTCTTGGATTATTTGTCGTGGGACGCACCGTCAGCTGTGGGGATGGTGGTGGCGGGGGGGCTGCTGTTGCTGTGTCAGGGGGCCGTGGGGGTGGTGTTCTGGAAGCACCGTCACACCCCCCTGGTGGCGGCCTCCGGCGGAGCTCAGGGTTTTGCGGCTCTGCTGAGCCTGATGGGAGCCTGCCTCAGTCTGGTTCTGTTCCTGGGACGACCCACGGACCTGGGCTGTCGTCTGCAGCTGCCGCTCACCTGCATGTTCCAAACCCTGGCTCTTTGCATCATCCAGTCCGTCTCGTTACAGGTGAGAAACTCAACAAATGTTGCTTATTCTTCATGTCACATGACCTTCTGCCCTTAGTCTGGGTTTTCTGTTTGATTCTGTGATGAGAGAATACACCCAGTAGGTGGCAGTAGTCCAACTTGACCCACCCAGATGTTTAAACCAAGAAGTTGTTGGTAAAACACGTCTTTGTTTTTGGTAGTATAACAACGTCAGTGTTAGCTGTTGTGGTAACCCCTGAAAAAAAGGGACAAAGCCGAAAGAAAAAGAAGAAGAAGAAGAACGTCAGTGTTAGCTGTGTTCTTGTGCTGGTCGTCATGGTAACTGCTCTCATACCAAAGATATGTTGTTATATGTTTGTATATACTGTCTCTTCTACCCTTTTTTTTTGCACCAAGTGAGTAGCGCTCAAATCTCGTTGTACACTGTACAAGGACAATAAAGGCTGTTCTATTCTATTCTTTTCTTCTTCAGATTCTGTATTTGACGGAGTTCCCAGAGAAAGCCGCCTCTCACCTACATATCATGCGAGGCCCGAAGAGCGCCATCTTCCTGCTGGGCTGTTGTGCGGTGCAGGCCGGTCTCAGCGGCTGGTTCATGACGGAGGCGCCCTGGTTGTCTGACTACGTGGCCAACATGAAAATAGACTTTGTGAGGACATATCTGTCCTGCCCCGTGTCACCTTTGGTTGGGTTTGCCCTGATGCAGGGCTTTAACTGTTTACTGGCCCTGGTGTCGTTCATGAGCACCTTCATGGCAGTCAAGCCTCTGCACCAGTACAATCTGGCCAGGGACATCACCTTTTCCTCTCTTATCTACTGTGTGATTTGGGTGACCTTTATCCCAATTTATATAGGCCTGAGTCAGACCAGGAGGACCGTCGTGCACGTTTCCTTCAACCTTGTCAGCAACTTGGGGCTGGTGGTTGCCTACTTTGTTCCAAAATGTTATTTTCTCCTGAGAAAGCCAGAGCTCAACACGACCGAATACTTCTGCACGTTCCTGAAAGGTGTTCCACCGAGACCGGCAGAGGAGGAGCCTCAGCCTCAGGCTGAGAAGTAAACAACGACAACAGCGACGACAACAACGACGACAACAAAGACGACAACAACGACGACAACAACGACGACGACAACAATGATGACGACAACAACGACGACAACAACGACAACGACAACAACAACAAAAAAAACAACAACGACAACAACAACAACAACAACAACAACGACGACAACAACGACGACGACAACAACGACGACAACAGCAACGACGACAACAATAACGACGACAACAACGACGACAACAACAACGACGACAACAACGATGACAACAACAACGACAACAACGACGACAACAACAACGATTACAACAACAATGACAACAACAACGACGACAACAACAGTACAGTTTACTTCAGATTCACTCATCATAATACAGGGTAAACATATACGTGTGTGGACTTTCTGTGTGTTAAAAGGTCATAAATGTCACAGCGTTAGTGTAGGTCCAGGTCCAGGTCCAGGTCCAGGTCCAGGTCCAGGTCCATCTGTCAGAGTTCTCCTAGTGTTGGTCCAGTTGAACTGAACTTGTGTTTCTTAATGAAAATGATTGTCGTACAAAGACGAGACATTTAATTAATGACATTTAATTAATGACATTTAATTAATATCTGATGTTATTCTCATTACTCTTGTTGAGTTTAAACTCAGACATGACCTTGATGTGAGTATTGTGTATTATACTATAGTGTACCATATGACGTCACCGCAACGAATGAGCCTGCAGGCTTTAGAATTACAAACCCGCTATGCCCTCTTGTGGACAAATTGTGTAACGCAACCATAAATCGTGTTAAAATATAGTTTCAGTTTTCTAAATAGATTTGCTCGGTTACAAACCGGAACCAACATTATGAACCTTTTTACTTTTTCGCGCGGTGTCAACTGTAGCTGTAGTTTTGGCCGATGTTTTGTTTCCTCTTTTGTATTGATTTCTTAGACATTTGTGCTCTTCTGTTATTTCTTCTGTTGTCTTTAAATGACTTCATCTTTTATCGTTTATTTTCTTGTGCAACAATAAGACAAGTTCACGATTGTACGGTTTTAAAGCGGTGAATTTTATCATTTGTGTTGATTGTTTTAGTGTGAAAACCTCGGTGTCTAGAACGTTTTTTCTTGCGTCTAAATTCAATAACTTCCGGTCCTTGTGCTCCTTAGCAACAGTTGCTAACAACAAAGGCTCTTAGACTCAACAGTTGTTGCTGTTTTCCCCCAGAGATTCAGAGTTTCTTTTGTTTAAGGATCGTTTTCCTGGTGAGTTACAGGACGTCGTTATTATCGATAATCAATATATTATGTCTATTGATTGTGTCGTTCATATTATCATCGAATTAAAAGTTATTTATTTACATCTTGTCTATAACACAATATTTTCTGTTGCTATTCTGACAACCGTGTAACTGTAAGGCGTCCTGCAGTGTAACCTCACTTTAGGAAGCTTCTAGAACAACTGCAGCAGTGACATGGACGTGGACGGTAAACACAGCTGTAAATCTGACCCAAAAAGAGTCGGTGGATCCTGTACGTCCTGAACGTGTGACTCTGTTGTGACTCAGAATCAGAGCTGGCCAAGCTGCAGAGACAGTTCAGGATCATGGAGGGCGATCGTCAGGCCTACGGCCTGGAGGCCAGGGAGCAGCTCCGCCGACAACAGTAAGAGCAGAGAAACGCGCCGACGTCAGTGGGAGTGTTTTTACAGCCTGCTCCGCTCTGCTCCGCTGAAGGCAGGAGAAGGAGACGCTGCTGAAGGAGCAGGAGGAGCTGCTTCGAAACCTGGGCGTGTCCAAGAGTTTGTCCCGTCACCAGAGGGACAGCGAGGAGACGGAGGGTCTTCGAACGCTGCTGGACCAGAGGGACCTGCTGGACGAGGAGCTGGACCGAGAGAAACAGTGTCACCAAGAACTGAAAGGAGAGGTCGCTTCACCAGGACCTTTACGGGGAGAACATCAGCTCCTATATTTATATATATATATGTATTTATGTATGTGTGTGTGTGTGTGTGTGTGTGTGTGTGTGTGAGACCAGATCACAGACCTGGAGCAGAGGTTGGCAAGGATGAAGAAACTGGAGGTCAGTGGTCAGGACACCAGAAGGTCAGAGGTGCAGAGAACCAAGAAGGCCATACAGACCCTGGAGTACAAACTGGACCAGGTCAGTCCTGAACCACAGACACGTCAGTGATTCCACTCTGAGCAGTTCAACTGACCTGGTTGTTAATGACCACAGTGACTCTGGTCTTTCAGGCTCTGACCCGGTTCAACCAACAGCTGACCAAGAACAGCGCTCTCAGAGAGGAGCTGCAGACGCTCCACATTGAGCGGGCCCGTTTTCAGCAGCTACGTGAACGACTGCAGAAGGTCAGAGGTCACCCTACTGACGACACCATTTTGGGGGGGGGGGGTTTGGGGGCTTTAAGTCTACTGCACTGCT